ATTCATGCATTCATTCATTGATGAGGTTTCAAAGTGTGTTCCCTTCTTTGCAGCTTTCTGTTCTCCTTTTGAAGCCTCATTCCCCCTTCACCCCCCATTCCACCTTCCTTTTCAAGCCCTTTCGCTCTGCCCTTACAGCCTGCCCTCTTGCACCATGTCCTGAGAACCTCCCCCCCCCCCCCCCCTCCACTCCACCCACACCCTCCGTGTTTTTTAAAAAAAAAATGTGACACACAGAATTTACAACACTGTCCCTAGGTCTCAGCATTTCCTCAGTGGCTTGTCTCTAACTTTGTTTTCTTCCTTTTTTGTTTACCCATGCTCGCTGCTCCCTGCCCCCTGAAACTGCTTCTCTCCCATCTTTCTAATCGGTAGACAAAGTGGGCCCATTAACACCGAGCTCAGGAGAAAGCCAGCCTGTGCTTGTGGCAGTTCTTGTTATGGATTTTGTCCATCTGAAGTGGGCTGGAAGAGAGAAGATAGCTTCTCTCCAATTTGTCAACCTGTGATTTGAAATTTCCTGAATGTTTTGATTTTGGTGCTTTTGTCTGTCGCCCCTGTGTATTTTGAACTGACTGAAGGGAGAAATTTTGCAAAGAATGATTCTGGAAATTGCAGTATCATTGTTGAGGAACCTTTTTTATTGCAGAAATTGAGAGTCTTAACTTATTGGAACCCCTTTCCTTTTTTTTAAGCATTTATCATAAATGTTTTAAAAATTAGTTTTGATGAAGAAATGAACTCTGAACTTTCAGAGTAACTGCGATTTGGAATCTTGGCACTCTATAACTGCCATCAGGTGGTGCAGAAGTGAGCGTACTTGGAGTTGTATGACTTTAAACCTGCTATCGACTGGAATGAATTGTGTGGTCACAGAAATGAGTACTATTACCCTGTGTTCATCAACTCTGAAATGACTGCACTCCATAAAGTGTCAAAAAAAACAACTCTGTTAGAGAGGCTGCAGGAAATAATTTGTAGCTAATCTTGGGACTCTGCACTTAGCTACATGATTTTCAACATTGCCAGAAATCCTCCCTTTTTTTTTTCTAAAAGAGCCTATCCAATCCTGGTGGTCCATTCACCATCCCTTTAATCATCTTGGGTGCCAAGAATACACACCTTTTTAACTCTTTTGGTCCCATGTCGTATGTAGAAAAATAGTATATGATTTACATTTCTGTTGCTTGCATGTCATTACACTCAGCTCACTCTAATCTATTGTGAGTCACTTCTGAGAGCAGGATTGGTCCAGTCCAACTCTTGTGCCAGTTCTGCCATTCCGTTAGGTTGTGACTGATCTATTACCTGGATAAATGTGCACCTTGATTGCATTGCTTCAAGTATGTGTCCTGGAAATAGCAACAGTGTATACAGCCAACGAATGGGTGAATGTCTGAATTTCAGGTCTCCTTTTGGTGGAGACTATCCGAGGGGACCTGTCTTCGGACAGTCTTTCCTTGCGTCATGCACCTCATACGCTTGCAATTATTTTGGAAATCTGTTTTTGCCTTTGGCTCGCGTCTGATCTTTGTTTCCTTTTTCATTCCCTCGTTCTAACAGGAGCTCCTCGAAGGACAGGAACTGGGACAGTGGTGATAAACCTGGATGATGTGAATGACCACATTCCACTGATCCAAACCGATCAGTTGTATATTTGTGAGAATGGCCAGCACGAGTTTGCCAATGTGTCGGCTGAGGATTCTGATGTGGCGCCTAACTCTGCTCCGTTTATATTTACGCTGCCAGATGAGCCACCAGAAATCAAGAAGAAATGGGTGATCACCAATCAAATGGGTATGCAGCTATGTTTTTAAAATCTGCAATCTGATACTTTAACTTGTGTTCCTTTTTCTGTTGTATCTATGCCTGTAGACTCACTTCCATAGTGTAAGTAAGCAGTAATCTTCATTGAATGCTGCTTTCCACAATCTCTTTCAAATAAAAATCTGAATCTTTTCACTGAGTCAGTGCTTTGATTACTGATTACATTCTGGCTATTGATGTTAGTGTAGACTATGAAAGGGATATTTGTGTTGTAAGGATACCCTGTTTAGAGCAATTTTCTTTCCTTTGTCAATCTTACCCCCTTTGAAAAGAGTGGTAGTGTGCGGCTCAGTGGTTAGCACTGCTGGCTCAGTGCGAAAGACCTGGGTTGGATTCCAGCCTCCGGTGACTCTGTGGAGTTTGCACATTCTCCCCGTGTCTGCGTGGTTATCCTCCAGGTGCTCCGGTTTCCTCCCACAGTCCAAAGATGTGTGGTTTGGGTGGATTGGCCATGATAAATTGCCCTGTAGTGCCCGGGAATGTGCTGGCTCGGTGGGAAATGCAGGGTTACTGGGATAGTGTATGTGGGGGTGGGTGGCGCGGCAGGTGGGGGTGAGGTCTTCGGTGTAGACTCGATGGGCCAAATGGCCTGCTTCGAAACTGTAGGGATTCTGTTCTGTGAAAGCTTGATGCGTTTGGATACGGTACATGATGGATGAATTAGCCTTAGTTTGTAAGATAGGAGATAAATGTACCATGTAAAGTATCACAGTTGGACACAAGTTGTATTAAGCATGAATCTTGCAGTTCGTAAGATTAAGGATTAGATTTTTGCATCGTAAAAACCTGCATTATTTTAGTGTGTTTCCGATTTTAATTCCTAGCTATATCCAAAGTTTTAAATAGAATTTGAAATGATTCTTTGAAAGAAGGGTTTGTGTTGGTGCCTGTTACACATCCTGAATTTGATTTCTGGTGTTCCAGGATCCTATGCCTTTATAAAACCAGTAAATAAACTTCCTCCTGGTTATTATGAATTTCCTGTTATGATTGTGGACCAGCAGCACCAAGGAAAAGAACAAACCCTGAAGATTACAATCTGCGAATGCCCTAACAATGTAAATTGTGCAGATAGACTTGCATCTGGAAGTGCAGTGCTTGGAGGAATGGGAATTCTCGTGATGTTGTTGGCTGCATTGCTACTGCTTTGTAAGTACTTGAAAGCGTTGCAGAGGAAGGTGGTAGTGTAGTGGATAATGTCATTGGACGAATAATCCAGCAACCCAGACTTATCCTTTTGTGGACCACAACAGCTGGTGCAATTTGGTTAATGTTTGAAATATAAAATGGTCTCCTTTTGAAATGAAAGGGACATACGAATTTGGAGCGAGAGTAGGCCTTTCGGCCTCTCAATCTTGCTCTATCATTCAATACAGTCCGAAGTCTCACAACACCAGGTTATAGTCCAACAGGTTTATTTGAAAACACAGGCTTTCGGCACACTGCTCCTTCATCAGGTCTCACTTCACCCTAATGAATAAAGTTTGTGATTTCAAATAACCCTGTTGGACTATAACCTAGTGTCATTTAACTTCTGACCTTAAAAATCAGGGATCGTCCATTTCAAACAGACTGGATGAATTTTTTTGAGTCTGGCGTCATTGGAGCTCCCTTTCTGAAAAGATGGTGGAAGCAAAGTTGTCCAATATTTTAAAGGCAAATGTAGACAGATTTTTATTAAGCAAAGGATGGAAGGTTATCAGGGATGCGATGGCTACTGGTATTATCCATAGAACACTAATCCAGAGACCCTGGTAATGTTCTGAGGACCTGGGTTCAAACCCTGCCAGGACAGATGGAATTTGAACTCCATAAAAAATCTGGAATGAAGAGTCTAATGGTGACCACAAAACCAATGTCGATTGTCAGAAGTAAAATAAACATTTCATTCACTGTTGTCCTTTTTGAGGAAGGAAATCTGCCATCCTTACCTGGTCTAGCCTACATGGAACTCCAGTCCCACAGCAATGTGGTTGAGATCTTAACTAACCTCAGGGATGGGCATAACTGCTGGCTTAAAATGCATACATCCTGAGAATGAATAGAAAAACATACCCATTCTGTGTTTTGAGGTTTCCTTGATGTTTGTTGCAATTTATCTCTTCAGTGCTTCTCAATTTGCCATAATCTGCAAATTTTGATGTTGTCTAGTCCAAATCCCATGTTTAAATTATGTACAACACTCTGGTATCAGCAATGGAGGAGTCTGGTACAATTACAACATTTAAAAGGGATCTGGAAGGGTTTAGAGGGATATTCGCAAATGCTGGCAAATGAGATTAGATTAATTTAGGATATCTGGTCAGCATTCACAAATGGACCGAAGGGTCTGTTTCCATACTGTACGTCTCTCTGACTCTCTGTGGGTAACCCTGCACCATCTGACCCTAGTGGCCCAAGAAAAACAAAAGGCTATGAATATTGTGGCAAGTAACTCACCTCTGACTCCCCAAAGCCTGTCCTCCAACTACAAGGCACAAGTCAGGACTGTGATGGAATATTCCCCACTTGCCTGGATGGGTGCAGCTCCAACATCACTCAAGAAGTTTGACACCATCCAGGACAAAGCAGCCCGCTTGATTGGCGCTGCATCTACAAACATCCACTCACTCCAAAACCGATGCTCAGTAGCACCAGTGTGTACTACCTACAAGATGTACAGAAAAATCACCAGAGATCCTTAGATAGCACCTTCACAATCCATGGCCACTCCCATCTAGAAGGACAGCGGCAGCAGATACATGGGAACGCCACCTCCTGCAAGTTCCCCTCTGAGCCACTCACCATCCTGACTTGGAAATGTATCACTGTTCCTTCACTGTCACTGGGTCAAAATCCTGGAATTCCATCCTTAAGGGCATTGTAGCACGTGGACTGCAGTGATTTAAGAAGGTAGCTTACCAACATCTTCTCAAGGGGCAACTAAGGATGGGCAATACATGCTGGCCAGCAGTCATCAAAGCCTACATCCCAGGACATAATAGTTTTTTGAAAAAAGTTGTTAGGAATGTGAGGTATTGCACAAAAATTAAAATACTGTGGATCCTAGACATCTGAAATAAAGTGCTGGAAATACTCAACCGGTCAGGCATAATCTGTGGAGAGAGAAGCAGGATTAATGTAACAAACATAGAAATTGCTGGAGAAACTCAGCAGGTCTGGCAGCATCAGTGGAGAGAAATCAGAATTAACATTGAGTCCCGTGACCTTTTTCAGAAGGGTCACTGGACTAAATATATTAACTGTTTTTCTGTTTCCTCAGATGTTGCCAGACCTGTTGAATTTCTCTAGAAATCTGTTTTTGTTTCAGATTTTTAACAATTCTTTGTTTCATTAAACAGAGTTCAGGTTTTGATTCCAGGATAACGCTCTCCTTCAGAATGGAACCCTTCTAAAGAGTCAAACCGGACTCAACGTTAGTCCGTTTCCCTTTTTCTACAAATGCTATCAGGCCTGTTGAGTTTCTTCAGCACTGTTTCTTTCAGATCCCCAGTCACCATAGTATTTTGCTTTTAACAGAGTTAGTGTTTCATGTTTTGTGGCCTTACATTAGAATCTTATTAAAACATATACAAAGTTAAGACAAAGGTTGGTAGCCAGTTTGACTTAACAAGCTGCAATAAAATATTTGGCTTTCTAATCCTCTGCTGTATTATTTGGATGGAATTTAAAAGTGCACTATAAATTCTCTCCTATTTCTGACAGGTTTGCTCCTGGCTGCAGTTGCTTTGTATTGCGGAGGTGGTAAAGTACCACGACCTTCGATACCTCCAGGTCAATATCAACAAAGTCTCATCGTCTCTAATGATGAGGGCGGAGGTCAACAAGATAAGGTGGGTTTTCTCAGACCCATGGGCATCTGCCTCTTGCACCTCTCACCATCTCATTGCTACTTTAGTAAGACAAAGTCTCATTCAGAAAATTTTTGTTTTAAAGCCAGAGACTTGAGCAACACATCCATGCTGGAAGGTGTGATGACCACAACAATAATAACAAAAAAAGCTGCAAACTGAAATCGGGGAAATAGTTAGTTGGGGGGAACAAGCTTTTGAAATGAAACAACTGAAGTTGGAGCTTTAAAGCTGCAACTTGGGACGATGAGTTGAGTTGAAGAGATGAGAATGTACCTGGCCTCTTTCTACACTGTAGGGATTCTTTGGGTCTGAACACACTGTTGTCACCGTTTTTTGAGGTAATCCAAAACTCCTGTGCCCGAGTTTTAACCTTTAACATGATCCCTCCCTGTGTCATCCTTGTGCTCACTCACCTAATCTAGCTTTTGTGTACTCCACAGTTGTAGTCTGATCCTTGTTTTCAAATTCCTTTCTGTCTCTAATATCTTCCAATGTTAAGCATTAAGATGTTGGTGTCTTCTAAGGCCTGCCTCCCTCTCTCCTCCCTCCCCTTGTCCCCCTGTCTAAAGTGGACCTTAAAGCTTTGTCAAAGAGAGAGGATTTTGTCGTCTTCTCTGAGATGTCTGTCTGGCTTGGACTGATAATTATTAATAACCTTCCTGTGATATGATATAAAATGTTTACTTAGAAGTAGTTTGTTGCCATTTCTTAATGAAAGCTCTCTTAGATTCAATGACTCAATTCCTTGATTGCTGCACTCCCATTTTCCAGAACCTTGATGCACTGGACATCAATCTGTCTCAGAAACGTCATGCATCTCAAAGTGACCAGCTTTTTGGCAACCAAGAAACAAGTTTTGAACAACAGGCCCAACTCCCTTCTGCCTACGTGGATGGAGTGCAAGAAACGCATTTAGGAATGAAGACATTTGATGAAACGGTGAATACAAGTGGTGGAGGTATTTATGAGTCATTGAGAAGACATCACACACACCATCTCCAGACCAACATGATGCATCAAGATTCGACCACGATAGACACTTGCTTACTGAATCGGAGAAACAGTCACCATCTGATGGATCTCCTTCGTTCACGCGTTGACCAGGTAAATGGTACAGTTTCACACCACCTTGATCTGCAAAGCCTTGTACCCTGTAACTTTCACAGGAGTAAGCCCTTTAAGCTATATCTGTATCCTGTTGTTTTGATGCACAGAAGAGGGTCAGGCAGAAGCAGGGACAGAGAGTAACTGCAAAATTTGTGAATGACACTAAAATAGGTGGGAAAGCAGGCAGTATTGAGATAGAGATGTATAATTGAGAGGCTAGGGCAATGGGCCAGAACCTGGTAAATGGAGTTCAATGTGAATAAGAGCAAGATTGTCCATTTTGGCTGGAAAAATAAAAGGGCAAATTATTTAAATGGGAAGTAGATTCAAAATGCATCAGTGCAGAGGGATCTGGGTGCCCTTGTGCATGAATCACAGAAAATGGGTATGCAAGTGCAGCATGTAATAAGAAAGGCAAATTAAGTCCTGACATTTATTGCAAAAGGGCTGGATTATAAAAGTAAAGAAGTGTTGTTACATTTTTATAAGGCATTGGTGAGAGCACACCTGGAGAATTGTGCCTAGTTTTGGGCTCCTTACTTGAGGAAAGATGGGGTGGCATTGGAGGTAGTTCAGTGGAGGTTCACCAGACTGATTCCAGGGATGAAGGGGCTGTTGTACGAGGAGTGGTTGAATAGCTTGGGCTTGTACTCACTGGAGTTCGGCAGCATGTAGGTGGGATCGGATTGAGGTATTCAGATGCTAAAGGGGATTGATAAGGTGGATGTTGAGTAGATGCTTCCCCTTGTGGGATAGTCTTCAGCAAGACATCATAGATATAGAGCAACAGGAGGTAGGCTCAAACTGAGATGAGGTCAAACTGAGGGTTGTGAATCTGTGGAGCTCACTGCCCCAGAGAGCAGTAGAGACAATCGATCAACAGATTGAAAAAAAAATGTTTCTGATGAAAGGAGTATGGGGAGCAGGCAGGAGTGTGGAATTGAGATCAGGCTAAGATCAGCTATGATGTTAAATGGTGGAGAGGACTGAGTTGCCTACTCCTGATTCTAATTCCTATGTTCCTGTATTCCTAGAAGTCATCTAGAATTCTAGACAGAATAGACTAGACAATGTAACTACAGGAAAGACGTTCCCATTGGCTAGAGAGTCCAGGAGCATGGGTCACCAGTGTAAGGATGCGAGGTAGACTGTTTAGGACTGCGGTGAGGAACTATCCCTTCACCCAGAGAGTGGGGGGAGCCTGTGGAACTCTCTGCCACAAGAAATGGTTGAAGCCAAAGCATTGAATGTTTTCAAGAAGGAGTTATAGTTCTTGAGGTTGAAGGTTATAGGGAGAAAGGGGGCACTGGGTACTGAGTTGGAGGATCAGCCATGATCACATTGAATGGTGGCACCGATTTTGAAGGGCCGAATGGCCTACTTCTGCTCCTAGTTTCTATGCTCCCAATTTATTGTGAAATGATACAGCACAGAAGTAGGTCCAGGCCTTTGTTCCTGTGCCAGCTCACTCAAAGAGCAATCCAGTTCATCTTCCTCTTGACCCTGTACACGTTTTCTCCCCTTCAACTGTCTGTCTAATTCTTTATTTCTTTTTAATTTTAAAAGATGTTGTTGAATCTGCTTCCACCATTACACATCACAACGAATTGCTGCACAAAATAAAACTGTTTCTCTTTTGCTGATCACCTAAAGGCTATGAGCCTAGTGCTGGAGAAGGTGGGACTAGTGTAGATTTAGTGTATTTTTTGGCCGTACAGCTTTGAGGGGCCAAAGGCTGTCTTCTGTACCATGTGATTCCATGAAATGAAAGTTATCAGTAAGGCTGAGCAGGCTAGGTTGCTTTAGAAGAAAGAGGCAATTGAAACAGTCCTTGAGTGTTTGTAAAGTGGAGGAGGATGGATTCAAGGGGGTGAAAGATTATTGGGAACAAGCTTGGATTTGAGGCTGCAATGCAATCGGCCAAGAACTTATTAAATGTTGGAGTAGGCATAAGGACTGAAAGGTCTATTCCTGCTTGTATGTAAGAAATAGTGCTATAGTGGTTCTGTCAAACTGCAGTATTATAGAACAAGAGATAGTAGGAACTGCAGATGCTGGAGAATCCGAGACAACAAGGTGCAGGGCTGGATGAACACAGCAGGCCAAGCAGCATCATAGGAGCAGAGAGGCTGACGTTTCGGGCCTAGACCCTTCATCAGAAAAGGGGGAGGGGAAGGGGGTTCTGAAATAAATAGGGAGAGAGTGGGAGGCGGATAGAAGAGGGATAGAGGAGAGGATAGGTGGAGAGGAAACAAACAGGTCGAAGAGGCGGGGATGGAGCCAGTAAAGGTGAGTGTAGGTAGGGAGTTAGGAAGGGGATAGGTCAGTCCAGGGAGGACGGACAGGTCAAGGGGGCGGGATGAGGTTGGTCGGTAGGAGATGGAGGTGCGGCTTGAGGTGGGAGGAGGGGATAGGTGGGAGGAAGAACAGGTTAGGGAGGCAGGGA